TGTTATACAATCTTCATTTCTTGCAACGATGGAAATAACTTTATCTACTATCAAGTTCAATGTTAGAATAATGTTGAATTGAGGACTTAAATTGCTAAAAACTACATTACTTTCTTTGTGTCGATGGATTAAAGTAAATTTGGGTCCATTTTTTCCCCATTTTAGGCTATATTCATGATCCCAACAAAGCCACCACCATTCTTCAAATACCCTGACAAATGGTCAGATGAATTTAAAGACTTTGTGAAAAGTTGTTTAGTCAAAAACCCTGAGCAAAGAGTCACTGCTCAGATGCTATTGACGGTGAGAATTAGTTTAATGTCTAATGAGATTACTAAATGCTTTAGGTTTCCTTTTGTAGAAACATTATCCCTTACTGGACCTGAAGGAAGAACAGTTTAGAACTGATAGAACTATCCAGTATAAATAAAGTTAGTTTAGTTTAGGTTTCCTTCTGTAGTAACACTGGATCAATATGAGATGATCCTTACTGGACCTCTAGGAAGAACAGTTTAAAACAACCAATTCAATATTGACAATCCATATTTATTTCAGCATCCATTCATAAGAAAAGCAGGACCATGTACGACACTTCTTGGTATGATTAAAGAGGCTCTGGATATATTAGCACAGGAACCCAAAGATGACGATGAAGATGATGTTCCTGATGGGAATGACTATGACGAGGTGAGGGATGATTGTGTACCCATGTTGATAGCTGTTTACTATTTGCCATAAATTATAATAGATTATAATATTTTATTGATGTTGTTTCCCAGGACGAGGATGATGATGAGGTTGAAACAGAGTCTGGGACGATGATTGTAAACAAAGATATACTTGATGGGACAATGGTTGTCAATGAGGAGGGAACTATGGTGATAAATAGTGATAGTGATGGAACAATGGTGATAAATAGTGATCAAGAGACACTCAGATCTGGTATGGGAACGATGGTAATCAATGATGATGATGATGATGATGAAGAAGAAGAAGGCACAATGAAACGTAAGTTCATCCAGATTTTTAAAGCTTGCCTGACTAGTCTAGTACTTGCTGCTTTGCAATGTTTTATTCAGTGTTTTACTTCCAACCTTCCTCAATGTCAATTGATTATTGCAATACTGCTAGTCTGACTGAGTGTTGACCCTTGCTACTAATACTAGCCTGACTAGTCTAGTACTTGCTGCTTTGCAATGTTTTATTCAATGTTTCACTTACAACCTTCCTCTATGTCAGTTGACCATTGCAGTACTGTTGTCTGACTGAGTGTTGACCCTTGCTACTAATACTAGCCTGACTAGTCTAGTACGTACTGCTTTGCAATGTTTTATTCAGTGTTTCACTTTCAACCTTCCTCTATGTCAGTTCATCATTGCAGTACTGTTGTCTGACTGAGTGTTGACCCTTGCTACTAATACTAGTCTGACTAGTCTTGTATTTACTGCTTTGCAATGTTTTGAGTTCTTTATCCAACGTCCAGGAATAGGCACGACAGAATCAAAGGAAGAATATCGGCCATCGTTCATGGATCATTTCGATAAGATGTTTGAGTCACCACAACAAACTAATCATGTCAATGAAAGAAAAGGTTCAGATAGTTCAACAAACTCTCAGGTTGTCATGAGAAGAGCAGAATCACCTTTTAGTCCGCCAAAGAAATTTGGACCAGGAGATTTCGAATTTGTAAGTAATCATTTCTGACAAGGCGTTCCTTACTGGACCTCCGGTAATAACACTGGATCAATAAGAGATGATCCTTACTGGACCTTTAGAAAGAACAGTTTAGAACTGATAGAACTATCCAGTATAAATAAAGTTAGTTTAGTTTAGGTTTCCTCCTGTAGTAACACTGGATCAATAAGAGATGATCCTTACTGGACCTCTAGGAAGAACAGTTTAGAACTGATAGAGCTATCCAGTATAAATAAAGTTAGTTTAGGTTTCCTCCTGTAGTAACACTGGATCAATAAGAGATGATCCTTACTGGACCTCTAGGAAGAACAGTTTAGAACTGATAGAGCTATCCAGTATAAATAAAGTTAGTTTAGTTTAGGTTTTCTCCTGTAGTAACACTGGATCAATAAGAGATGATCCTTACTGGACCTCTAAGAAGACTTTAGAAGTGATAGAGCTATCCAGTTAGTATAAATAATGTTAGTCCACAAAGTTTAAAAGTATATTATATTTAAATCCTTTTTAGTTAAGAAGTTTATCCTTCGACGAACTTTTGTCCAGAATGAACTCACTCGATTCTGAAATGGAAAAAGAAATCGATTCTTTGCGTAAGCGCTATCAGGGAAAACGACAGCCTATACTAGACGCGATGGAGGCGAAAAAACGACGTCAGCAAAATTTCTAAAATTTTATAAGGACCGGCCGTCAAAGACTATATTTCATTCACCGTTCGTGATTGGCTAGGTTTTGTCAATGACAGTTTGAAAACTGATTTAAATGTAAGCACGTGTACAAAAGCACTTGAAGCACAGAGATCTCGTATTTAATAGTCCGCAAGCACCCTTTCAAAAGCTAAGAATTGGGGGCTAGGCGAAAAAAAGCTTTTTAGGGAGGGAATTTTGTATTATCAATCTGCTGTTATTTTAATAATGGAGGAAGATAAACCAATCTTGGCGCCATTTTTTCGCTGTGATTGACTGTTTATCTTCAACATAAATCAGGCTAGTCAGGCTAGCTTTCCCTAAAAACGTCGGGTGCTCCACACACGGACAAATCTAACTTAAGATTGAATACGGTATTGCGAAAAGAGGTGCAGAAAAGTAAACTGCATTGTGTATGCCTTGGCGAGGCCCAAGGCGATATTAGGTGTTTTAGTTTTGTCTTGCTTTTATTTAATATAATTAGAAATAAATTTAGGACAGAAAAGTGACCAAACCTGTCCCCAATTGATTCAACCTGAACTTTTTGTCATTTGATATCCTTCTGAACCTATTTAACCATAAAAAACCCACGATGAATCCTGTTTTATCCTATTTAGTCCACGTCACTGGTCCCAGTTTCTTACAGGCCAGTTTTCACTCTCTGATAGATGTGAACGAGTGCATTAGTTTGGGAGACTCGTAGATAAGGGCACTTGTACAACAAAGCATTCATAACTATTCGCTCGTTTGCATCTATCAAAAGAAGATAATTGCACTCTTTATGAAACAAAATCCTATTTCTGTCCCTTGTTACCCAGTGATATAACGAAATATAACCCTTTACAGCTCCCAATGATCCATCAATTCTGTTTTATCACCCTATTTACTGCGTCCAATTCCCTATGTAACCATGCTAACCCCCTGACCTTTGTCAGTGCCCCTGTTAACCCTGACAATCCATCGTTTGTCTCCATCAACAAGAAAGCGTGCATTTCAAAGGCAACTTCATCGAAATATATCATGTCTTATCAGTCGGAAAGAGACAATCTTATGTCGGATAGCGTTGAGAAATTTAAAGAAATTGCACGGCAGATTGAGAACGAAGAACATGGCCGTGGAGATGACCGGGAAACGAGCAATGAAAGAGAGTTTCATCGTAGTAATTTTGAGAGGGAACGCAATTTGGATTCCTCTCACTCGCATCGTTATCAACCTTACAGCACTTCGAAATCTGATCGTGAATCGAGATTAAACAAACGAGAGAATCGCGTTTACGTGTATAACTTACCCTTTTCTTTAAAATGGCAAGACCTCAAAGATCACATGAAGAAAGGTATGTAAGATTTTTGTGTTTTTCCAGGGCAGCGTTGTCTGAAAAACGAAAGCAAATCAACCTGTTAATAACCTAAAAATGCTGCAGTTTCCTTTTGAATTTTCACACGATTTGTACTCTCGATCTTGAAATTGTCGCGTTTGAAGAAAAGTTCGTTTAAGGGGGTTGTGTTTGGCGTAAATTTGAGCGAGAAGTTTGTTTTTTTTTTTATTTTGAGGCTAAAATTTGAGCTTTTTGTATATAAATGGCTTCTATGCTCGGTTGTCAAATTCTAACAATAATCTCTTGTAACTGGATTAAGTTGAGTGATTTTCAGGAAACAAGCAGGTGGTGTTAATGTATGTCTACATAATTTGTTTATTTCCTTTAGTTTTTTCTCCATTAAATTCTGGAATTAAGGATTTGTGGCAATCACAATTTTCCATATGCAAATCTATAATCTATATTGATGTGGAAAGAAATTCTTGAGCAAATATAATACCCAGATTATTCCAGATCATAATACAATGCAGCATTCAAATTGATGCTCTTAACAATGCAATGGGCTTTGTTCAGAAAAACCTTGGTATTTCATTTAGTGAAATTCTCTCTGACAAAAAAAAGTGCTAGGTTAATTTGGCCTTGACAGTTGACAATAATATGATATTTTCCAAGTCATTTCCTGAGGCCTCAGCAAGCACTTTAGTCATATGACAGGGGGTTTTGTATATCATATGGAGAAATGTTGGCTGTTATTGGTTAAAAAGCTCAGTTGAATTCGTTGTGTAGTTGGCGATGTTGTTTTTGCTGAAATTATGGAGGATTCTTCAGGACGGTCCAAGGTTAGTTGGGAATGAACTGGGGGTGTTTGGTGAAAATGGAGCCGAAAAACCTTCATAGGTGCACTTAGCTTGTTTTCCTGATTTCGTTTGTTGGGAAAAATGTTCCTTGCTCACAATGAAATTCACCAATTCAGTTGGTAAATGTTGCATTTTTGGTAGATATTCTAGTTTCAATAAATGTCAGGGAAGAATGCTTCAAAATTTTCAAATTCAGGCTAGTTTTGGATGTGAGAAATTGTGTTTCCTTTGTTGAGCTGTTATTCTGTAATTTGTATGTAGCATTTTATTTAAAGTTGAGTGGAAAACAGCATCTGGTACAGGCTGGAAAGTATGAATGTTGTTAAGTGAGCATTTTCAACAGTCCAGTTTTGAAAAATTTGACATTTGGATACTTTGGTAGAAGTAACTGTTTCCGGTTTCATAATTTGTGAATATATGCTTCAATTAGCCTTTCTCATGATGACGTTTTGGGGTACTTTCAATTTTCTGAAATGGGTTTGAAAATTATGTGTAAACATCAAAAGCAATTTTTTTAGAATAAACAGACCATTTGAAGAATAAATTCAGCCTAAAATTAAAGACAGTCGCCGTTACCAAGTCTTACGCTCACGGTTTTTGAAAAAAGTCCCCCAAAAATGGCGGCATATTCGTCATTGTGAGAAAGGCTAATTAATCCTTGTAAACACTACTCATTGTAGCAAGTATGTTTTCGCAAATATCTATTATGTTGACATTTGTTTTTCTTTTTATTTCTAGGGCTGTGGGTAAGTAAAACTTCCTCATATTTTTACGAGATATTGTGCTATCTAAGTCCATATTGTACGTAATGTTTTACAAGTGCTATTTTGTTGTTCAGTGTTGTTGAGTTTACATCATCAGAAGATGCGCAGAGGGCAATACGAGAGTTGAATGATACTAATCTTGGAGGACGACTGATGAAAATACGAGAGGTTAGGAGAAAATGATCTCCGCAACCCTGTGGCAGACCTTCAGGTTTTATAAAAATAGCAAATTTTCTTTGCATGATCAAAAATAACAATTTTTCTTGCAGGATCACCAAGATCGAGACGAGCGACCACGAAGACCTCGTGAGAGAAGCAGTCGTGATAGAGACAGCAGTAGTTCATCTGGTAACCTTGGCAGTGTTGCAGGATTGAGCATGCTGGGTCTCGGGCAACTTGGTCTTCTACAACAAATGAGTTCCAAATCGGACGCCGCTTCCTGTTCTGTGTTTGTCAGCAATGTACGTTGTAGACCAGGGGTGGGGGATGAGGGGAGTGTGGGGGATGAGGGGAGTGTGGGGGATGAGGGGAGTGTGGGGGATGAGGGGAGTGTGGGGGATGAGGGGAGTGTGGGGGATAAGGGGGTGTGGAGGTGAGGGATGAGGGGAGTGTGGAGGTGGGGGATGAGGGGAGTGTGGGGGATAAGGGGGGTGTTAAGGTGGGGGATGAGGGGGTATGGAGGTGGGGGTATGGAGGTGGGGGGTCAAGGTGGGGGGTACAAACTTAGCCTAGTCCTGAGAAGCTGCAAATTTAGGTGTGAATTCAAGTTTGGGACCAAACATCATGCAAACCCCTTGGAAGCGTCTTTCTGAGTGTGTAACTATTTCAATATTGCTAGCAATAAGATCTATTATTATATGGCAAGCGCTTGTTTTGGTGCAAGCGCTTCTTATTGCCCTGTGAAAACAAGGCAAAACTCACGGCAAAAACTAACTAAATTTAAACTGAAAAACAGATTAAATTCTTAAACGGAAAATAATGAATTTGAAATAAAAATAATAAATTTATATAAATAGAGTGAGATTCAAAATAAAGCGGTTTTTTTCACTTTAGGCCGATGTTTTGGTGTCGTGTGCCCAGATGAGACTGATCATTAAAATTACTCATAAAGAATTAATCATTACAATGTTTGCATGAAAAATGCCATATAATAAAAAACTTACTAACTTCGACTGTTCGGTCTGTACGGTAAAATATCAAACCTCGGTCTTGGTGTATTGACCTCGCTATCGCTCGGTCAATACGGCACGACCTCGGTTTGATATTTTACCGTACAGACCTCACTCTCAGTCAGTAAGTTCTTAGTATTTTTTCTCTTCTCTAAGTTGTTACTATATTCAGGGTGTAAACAGATCAATGGTTGCGGTCTGTTCAAGTGAAGTAAAGTAAAGGCTGTACAAATCTTTCATTTTTTATCTACAAACTTGTATTTTTTTGTATCTTTTCTAGCTTGATTACAGAGTAACATGGGCAAAGTTAAAAGATACATTCAAGGCTGCAGGTAAAATTTTTAAAAATGGATTTTGTCTAAGCTCATGTGCATAGAAAAAAGAATGATCCTACTTTCTTTTTTTCTTTTCAGGAAGAGTTGTACGAGCTGATGTTGCAGAAGATAATGACAAGAAGTCAAAAGGTCATGGCACTGTGCAGTTCGAGACACCTTTAGAAGCAATTAATGCTGTCTGTATCCTTTCTAAACGTATAATGAAGCAATATAACACAATGCCAACCATGACTGATATGTTTGTGGGCTACAAAGAGCATTCTGGAATTTATTTTATTTATTATACTTTGCCAGATATACACAAAAGTATAGTACAATAATAAGCACAAATGATATACAATTACATGGCAGGGTATACGCTACAGCTTACGCCAATTACTGTGGCCCTTGAACAAGAGGTCCCACCAAGACTAGTTAAATAGTTAAATAATGATATTTCTAAGCTCCCAGTGGGCAGTGGCAGTCGAAAGTAAGACAGTGACTCAGAGTATATCGCCAGTTCTGTATACATAACCTTGGAGAATGACGAGTAAGCTAACCTATTTTTTGTTTACTTTGGTTTGAAAGCCTTAACTTGAGTATAGTTATCATGAATGGTAAATCCATTTACGACAGGTCAATGAATGTTCGACTGGTAAGTCATCACCAGAACAATTCTGTTTAAAACATAATTTTTTG